GACTATTTTGCAAATGGTTAAGTTATAGGGGAGGGGAAATGCTTCCTAAATGTCGATGTTTTTTTTTATGTGACTTTCTGAATGTTGTTAATGTTGAAAACACTGGATGTGAGCCAATCGCACCTATCGCCCCCTAAAATCAGCATTTTTCGCGTAAAATAACAAAAGACTGTAGATTTTTTTCTTTTTTTTTTTACAGTCCACCCAAGGATTTTTTTAAAATGTTATAACAAAAGACTGTAGATTTTTTTTTCTTTTTTTTTTACAGTCCACCCAAGAATTTTTTTAAAATGTCTGTTAAACGAGCACTGACACGAATGAAAATAATATTGACCTTTTTACCTTCTGGGGTCTCTATAACTATCGCTGTATTTAAAATAAACAATGACTGTATGGATTTGAATAATTTTAACTTGAAAAAAAAGTGCAATATGAAATGTAAATCCTGTTATTTATTGATCGTGTTTGTTCTTGGGGAAAAAAAATAAATAGAAAATCTTCACACACCTTCGTGACTTTATGATAGACTGCACGCCAAAGATTTTATTTACAGCTATGGATGCGTTTGCATGGGGTGACACAGCTCCATCGTGCTGTTAATTAAAAATGCATGCAAAGGTAGCGACGTGGAGTGGAGGGGGAGGCGATGAAGGGGTCACTTCACTCCTATCATTTACCATTATTTGTACATTACCTCTAAATGATACCGGCTGATCCTGTCGTTAATTGCAACGGGTTCAAATATACACACACCGTGCACCAGAATGGCCCCCGGGGACTTGAAGATAAGTTGTTGTTTTTTTTTCCAACGTGCCCATTAAAGAAGCAGGATTAGAGGGTTGAGAACATGGCCGTGATGTATCGCCGCGTTTCCTGGCGCTTTAAAGCGAGCCTTGCATTGAGATAGATGGTGGGTTTGAAAAAAATAGCTGAACTCCTTTCTAAATTTTAAGGGTCTGTCACAATAATTTTTACTTCCCATAACGCTATTAGTTTTGCGTGTGTGTGTGTGTGTGTGTGTGTGTGGAGAGAGGGGGGCGAAATGCGTCATAACGCCGTCGAGTGCTTGTCACCTTCACTGAATGTTTTTCTTGGCACGGGCATAAATCTCCGGCTTGTTTAATATTCCGCCATATTCTGCTTTATTTGGGTGCTAATAGAAAACCCAAATGAAATGTCCAAGCAGCCTCGCTAAGCAACGCGAGGATCGATGATGCGGCCGCTACTGTCCAATCAGGCCCGCCCCTTAATTGCCTGTATTTTCAAGGTAATGGAAGGGCTTGTTGCAAATTGAGGGATTTTTTTTATATAGAAAGTACACGAAAAGTACCTTTACTGACATTCATGGCGTCTTTGACATTGATTATCTGATCAGCGCCGTGTCACGCTCACCTCCAATTCTTCATTACACACTGTTTATGAGCTGTTACGGCACAACTCGCTTGTTCCACGGTGATTGATTGCCTTATTAACGCGTGTTCTTGTAAGTGTGACCGGACTGATTACGATGCATATGTTTAGAATAATGTTTCATTTAGCTGACTGCGAGTAATGCGGGGTGACAGCTGCTGCGGGAGGACACACAAAAAAAAAAAAAAAAAGAGAGAAGGGGGGAGGTATGGAGAAAGAGGGTAAACTACGGAGAGCAAGCGGGGCCAAAACATACTTAAGGTGGAACCACAACGGCCGCGCGTGGCAGCTATTGCACGAGCAAATGTGACGAAAACTCACAAATGTGGTTTTGGTTCCTTTTCAGGAAATGGTACTTCACACCTGTGGAAGCCTGCCTGCCTGCCACATAGTGGAACAGCTGTATCAGGACAGCAGGGGCATGCCCCACCATGCAGGTCAACTTTTTTTCTTCATCAATTACACACACATGCACAATGCTGAGTTGTTTCCAAACCGACTCACTGGGTACAGACTTAAAAATGCTGGGTTAAAAATAACCCAACCGGATACTTGGGTCTCATTCACCCAATTTCTAGGTTGATTTGTACAAAACAACCGATTTTGTTCAACCCTCCCCAAATGGGTTGTTTTGATACAAAATAGCCCAAAGTTGGCTGAAACTGACCCAACTAGCAGGTCAGTCCGTTTTTTTACCCTTTTATTTTGACCCAGCAATTTGCTATGGAAGGATTTTAAGCAGACTGAATTATTTCTACCCAATGTCGGGTTCATTATTTTGACACGACAGGTTGGGTTGAAAATTGGATTTGGGTGGGCAGATAAAAATGACTTGTTTCAAACAACCCAAACTAAGCTCTCCAACTTTGCTGTAGAAAAGCCAATTGTATTGTTTAATGCAAACACAAAGTCCAAAACTTCATAAAAAGGCGAAGGAATGGCAATAGTCAAGACATCCGTGTCATCCTGGGTTTGTTTCAGTCGATTCTGAACATCTATATTTGGACCTATGAAAAAATTTAAACTGCAGGATTGTTTGTACCTGTATTCGTAGATCCACTTCCTTGTCCCCTTTAAGCTCCCTAGCACTGCTTTTACTCAACAGGGTCAAATGTCCGATTTTCCTGTGAAGGACAAGAGACCGTGAAAGACGGACGATGAAGTGTGAAAGTTGCACAAAAGGCAATCAGCAGACCTTTTACGGTGAGCAAAACACACAGTGGTCGATTCTTTTTCAAAATGCTGTAAATGGGACTTAAAAACTACGGCGTTCATAAATACAGATGGTGAATGAGGACCCATTTTGTCGTATTGTTCCTTATGATTACATCCAAAGCCAATGAAAGCCTCGAGTATTTTCCTCCCATTTGGTGCACTATTTGCATCACACAGCACAGCTGTTACATGGGGCCTCAAACCATCAGGTAGCGTCCAACACCTATAAGATCCCATTTAATGCTTTAAAATGTTCCCCAAACGTGAATGGAAGACGAGTGCTTAATGAGATTTATGCCGCCATTACACTTCTAAAGTAGTTTCTGCTCTGTTTGTCTCAAATCATTGCCTCTGTTCAAATGTTACCTTCATATATTATATGGCATTAATTCAACTATAGCTCATTAAGACAGAGCGAAATGGTTAAATTAGCTTATCAAGTCATAATCATGATGAATGGGCTTTTAATTCTGATACAAGCTGGGCAAATTGCAATTTTGTGCGATTTGATGGTTCTGAAATAACATTTAATATAACGGGTCATCCCCTCAATCAATTACTGGAGGCTGCGAGCGAGTCGTGTGCAGGATTTTTTTTTCTTCATGCATATGTATCGAAACGTGTTCTCAATTATCTTTGGAAATTGCTTTTATTGGGTTAACGATTAATTCTTCCAGAGGTTCTCTGCACATGGTAATGGCGGTGCAACAAATTAGTATTCCTGAGACAAGGACCACGCTTTAGATTTTCATATATTAAAAAAAAAAAAAAAAAAAAAAAAAACTCGTGTTCTCCCCTGCCCCCACCTCCCCCCCAAAAAAGGTACATAGTGTGTCGTCACATGTAACAGATGTAGTATATTCTCAATGCACACTGACAGACTGAATACAAAGTACATTCAAATGAAGAAGAATGGATACTTCAAACACTGTACCGGTATTTATCACAGTGTAACGCACTACGTTGCACAAATGAAACTATTGGATTGAATCAAAATGTTAAAAACTCAAACCTTAATCTGACCATGTTTGACTTTTCAAAAGATGAATTTAAGTACTGTACCAGCGTGCCGATAGTAATGAACAGGCCCAATGTAATAAGTTTCCCTAGCAATTACAGTAAATACCTATGTAAAAAAAAAAAAAAAGAAAAGCGGGTCATGAATATGAAACAGTTTCATAAAAAAAACTGAAACTACAGCAGTAACTTTCTTCCGCCAGATAAAATGTTAAAAATGCATTATTTATTTATTTATTTTTAAGATGAATTATTTTACAAATTCCCAAAAGTCTTGAAAAAAAACTACGGTAAACATCCCCATGAAAAACTTGAGGTAATGGGGAAAAAAAACCGTGACAATCCTAAGAAAACATTTTTGAAAAAAAGGAGGGAAAACTCCGCAAATCTGCAATTCTGTGGATGCCAAAACTTCGAATACGCAGTGGTTGTAATATCACCAGTCACCATTAGATGGCAGACATGTCTTGGTTGCGTTCCATTGGGTTTGATACTGCCTTAATTTACTACTGAGTAGGCCTAATATATATATATATTTTTGCGAATTTGGTATGATATGCAGGACAAACAGTAAATCAACAATATTAAAATTTTGAGTGTGTTGATTTTTGTGGGGGAAAAAATCCAAAATCAGTTATTGCACTTTGTAGTATTTGTTTTTTTTTTTTTGTTCAGCAGTTTTTTGCCATCCTTGAATGAAAATGTTTATGCAAGACCCCTGTGCAGTTGAAAAAAAAATTACAGTACAGTATGTGCTTCTTTTGTTGTTTGCTTCAAAGCCTTTGTTGTTGGGTTAGGATAGAAGGCCTTTGAAACATGAAGCGAAAAGTGGATTATCAAAAATGCTTTGCACATATTTGTCTATCTTTAAAATTGCATTTTTGGCATACACCTGGTTCGCAAGTGTGTGGTCCAATGTGGACCCCCAATAGCACGGACATTGAAATAGTCCATCCTTTGATTACTGTTTCGAATGAACGAACACAAGTCCATGGAATAAAATAATACAAGTTAGATTGGAAATGTAGGTCAGTGCTTCTTATGGTGTTAAGTCCAGCAGGGGAGATCTTGCCAACCCTTACCGAGCCCCACTGTGGTAAACCAAGGACACATTTTCACTACATGTCCACGATTCACCACTCACGATGGAGACTTTGAAGCAGAGGAGACTAGAAAGAATGCCCACGTTCGTCTTCTTGGGTGTTGTAACGGGACACACCCCCTAAGCTTGACACCATCTAAACCAGGAGAGCTGCAGATAGTCAGTACGAGGCACGGGCAGTCCAAACCAGTCGGATCCACCCAAGGTATGTTCTTTTGAGATCCCTCAATCGGGCTGCGACATATTCGCGTCCATTCGAAGTATCCGCTTAACTAGCTTTCAAGACGGAACGTCAATGCAACACGTTATGTTAGCGTTTGACTCGCTTGCTCGCAAAAGTTAGCTAGTGCGGGCAACACTTGTTGGAAAAGTGGATTCAAGTTATTTAAAAGCGTCGTTGATGTATGGTTTGAGGTTGACCGTTATGGTAGCGAGAATGTAACTTCACGTCGTGTGTAAATTAAGCAAAAACGCCTCGGCACGTCCATTTATGATGTTAGCCCCAGTTAGCAAGCAGCTAGCCGCTGGCTCCATTTAGATGTTAAAAACCCGCTGTCCTACTTGTCCCCACCTCAAGACACGTTGGATCTTTAGTACTCGACTATTTTCAGGTGTCAAGGAGTCCGAAGCTATTTAATCCGAGTGACAGGCTAACTTGAAGTGCTCTCATGTCTTGTATTTTGGCAATTTATGTGAAACTGACGCTTTTTTTTTTGTCCACAGGTGGAAGACGTCAAGAGCGAAAACATTGACGAGGAGGCGACAATCTCCGATCACCACCATGGGGGCTGCCATCTCTCGGTGGAGGGTGTGTGTTTGTTTTAAATGGAATGTTTATGTTATACACTCATACCATTAGGTACACTCGAGCAATCTAATAACACGAACATTTCTAGCAATGATGGGGCAGTAATGCTCCTCTTGAATGAACAAAAAGTTCATTGTGGAGCTGCAGGAGTTGGGCCAAATATTAGAAACATGCCATGGTGTGTGATGCATACAGTAGACTTTTCCATCACTTCACAAAGTACAACTTGTTAATATAAGTCCTCAACCAACTGAACTTTATTCAAAATCTTTTCAAAATGTATTTTATTGACTGCGCAGGTTTTGTGTGGCTGATGTTCTATGTTTACTTACCGTTATTTATTCAAAAAAATTTTTTTCTCCCCTGCAGGCCAAACCTTCCACTGTGGAGATTTTGGAGGGAATAGATAAGGTGTGCTTCAAAAAAGGAACACTTTGTTTTTTAATTGTATGGTCTGGATTACTTTATTTCCACACACGAATAGATAAAATACTTTAGGATGTGGCGTATCGTTTAATTGGCTCTATGGGAACAATGCGCTATGAGGCAGGCCCTCAGGTGTGACAGTTTTCATGACAATTGCAAAGATTAAGGTGCTGTCAAAACAAAGCTCATATCAGTAATAGACATGTAGTCAAATTGAATCCTTGTGGATCTAAAACACTTCCTCGTTCGAAGACTGACGGCGGCTTTAGTGCACCGCTACAGTTAAGCTTGCGGGCTATTTTCAGCCCTCTCTCCTTGGAGTGCTTGACACTCCTCAGGTCAAGTAGCAGCAAAACATCCCCTTAGAAAAACATCCTATCTCCTACTGCTCAATATTATTTAGTTTATTTATTTCCGTCCATTGTTCCATATCATCATCGTGTTACAACACTGGATGGAGAGGATGTAATGCACTGGTTCTGGAGTGACAGAGATGCACGTTGGAGTGGAGAGTGTGGTACATTGCCCTCATAAGGTATTTGTGGATTGGGTAACCAATACTTTAAAGTGGTGCACAAAGGAATACTGTACATGTCTAAAAGACTCCATTCGAAGGTCTGATCACACACTGTCAAATAAAAAGTTAGCTTGGCTTTGGCAAGAAATCAAGTGGGAATACCACCTTGCTAAAAGTTCATGCGTTCCTGGAAAGAAAAAACATGCTTCGATATTTGAATTTACATCAGGATTGTTTTCTTTCAGGACATTCAGCTTTATGAGGAGCATGGTGAAAAATACCAAAGGCAGCTGAAGATTTGGCTGGGCCGACTGCTTTTGTACTCTGCTCTCCTCTACCTGATTACCTGTGCAGTGGTGTATTGCTGGTATCTGCCAGAACAGCTCATGGGGCGCTTTATTCTCTCGCTTCCCTTTGTCATATTTCCTTTATTGTAAGTACACCGCACACAAATCAGCTCTACGTGAAATGTCGCCACGTCCAAGTGAATTAACATCGTCCTATTTCTACCGTTCCTTTTTAGAGTGTGGTTACTTCGAAAAATCCTGATCGTAATATTTTCACGAAGAACTGAGAGGAATAGTATGAGATTTTTATTGAGTCATGGGTATTATTTTCAGTGAAATTAGACTCGAGTTGATTTTTTTTTTCTTCCCCCTGTCAGATGAAAAACTGGAGACTCTTAAAGTGCAAAAGAAGAAAATAGTAAGTTTTAGATTTCTGTTACCAATCACCAAAATGATTTTAGCCCCGTAAGATGCATGAGCCTTGAAAATCACAGCGGTGTATTGAATGACTTGAATACCTTCTTTTATTATTTGTCTCATCGATCCTTATCGGTATTTTGTTTTTGTGAATCGAGATTCTGTATTGATGCGATTGGATTGGTGTGAAGACTTAACCCAGTGAACGACTCTGCTAATATCACAGTAATTAATAGCATGCGGTGCCGCAAGAAGATAAATCTGAGAAATGACTTGTCATCCTCAGTCAGGTCTAATAACTTTCAATAATTAGGGCTGATGGATTTTCACCATGGCCATTATCGAAGTAGTGAATGTAATTATTCTTCATATTACATGTAAACATGCAGAAATGTTTGGTATTTACTGTAAATGAAGATATGCACTTTCTGTCACTTCTAATGTCACGCTAGGTGTAGTTTATTACAGCTCGATAATGAGATATGAGATGATCGTTAAATGAGCATACAGTATTTTTCACGAGGCCAATTCTCGTTTCAGCTCGAAGACGTTATGGAAACGGAGACGTATAAAAATGCCAAAATGATTCTGGAAAGATTTGATCCCGATTCTAAGCGGAGAATGGTGAGGATTGTGTATTTATTATATATTTTTTTCTTTTTTTTTGAGGAATGTGTTTGTGCAGAGAGGTGTTTGAAGTGATGATCATTGAGTCAGTCTAATTTATTTAAACTCCATAGAAAATTGTATAAGTTACACATTTAAAGTAAATTGTTTTTCTTATATAGATATTTATATCTATATAAGTAAATAATGGCCACTTAAATAATGTAACGTGGCCAACTAACAATTTCTTTCTTTCTTTTACGAAGGAACTTGAATCAACTCCACTCAGACCCCAGATGACGCCAAAACCAGGCCAAGGTACTAAGTAATGAGTCATAATAACGGCAGTTTCCGGTGCCGGTGCTTTTGCTCCTTTACCACAGCTCACCGGGAGTTTCTCCTTTTTGTCAGAGCTTCGCCAGCGCAATGTCATCCCCAAAACCCCGGTGGCGGTGAATCCTGCGAGCGCCGTCGCGAGCCGCCCTCCTCTTTCCGGCGGGCCCACCAACCCTGGACGATCTTCCCACTCCGCCCCAGGAGGACCCCCAGAGAGGGGCCTGTCGACGGCGGCCGCTCAGGAGAGTTTGATGAGGAAGCCCGTGACCCTCGGAACACCTGCTCCAGGATTTGGTGAGTAAGCCGCACACAGTGGGGACCACATCATAATGTGGCTGATTAAAGCGTGATTTACTCGACCTGATACTTGTCTCCTTAGTTGCTCAGGCTCTGGACATTTTTGTATCTTTAATTCGAACGATGTATGCCGGTCGTGCAAATGTCTGAATTTCTTAAATGTACTTTCTGATGGGTGGAAGGTTTCTCACACGAGCACATGAATTTGAGATTTTCCAAAAATGTAGTTAAGTGTGTAGAAAGTGCCGGCTCATTTTTTTGGCTGCCCTTTTTTAAGGATGGATTTTAAATAAATAAAGAAACAGGAAAAACCTTGCGTAGAACAGTTGTCCTGTGTTCAGAGACATCTGTGTCTCCACATAGAAGCGCTTTACTCCTCAATATAAATTATTTCTGGACGATGAAGACTCAATAGACGAAGCAAATGGGTGCAAACAGTAAAGGAAATGTGCTCCTAGAGGAAGCCGCGAGCCGTAATTGCCATGTGGAATGCCAACTGTGAGCAATGCACGAAGCAGGATTACATTAACTATGATTAATTAGCCGGAGCGCCGTTTGTTCTCTGGGCAATGGTGGTGGAATCTCGGTAAATGCCTTCTTGGCAAAAAAAAAATTGCCTTTGGCGTTGGCAGCGGCTCACAAATGCGATTCCACGACTTGATATCACCTGCTACTGCTGAAAATTGAAAGTGAAAAGCAATTTGATACACAGAGTCGCCGCAGACTTTCCATATGTCGACGAATTAATAAGCAGCAGGGTACTGAGACGGTGCCAAGTCTCTCAGAAATGACCAGTCATCTTCCTATGATTGCTCTTGATGTTAGATTATATTAATTACTACTCTCCGTCACGGGGGGGTGGGGGGTGTTCTGGATGTGCTTTGCAACGGAGATACGAGTCATTAACAGCAAGGACTTTTGTGAAATGTATCTCGGTTCCTTCGTTGCCTGCTCATCATGATGTCATGTTCACAATGGCGTAAATATTTTATTTGAAAAGGGATGCACCCCCCAGGCCCACCTCTGGCCAGACCAGTGCTTCCAAGGGACAGAGGGACTATGGACAGAGTCATCGAATACCTTGTTGGAGATGGCCCGCAAAATAGGTAAATATTATTGGTGTATTATAATCTATAATCTTCAATGTAAAGTCATGATTTTTAAAAAATATTATCACACACAGTAACTATAACAAACGTAACATCATACAGTTCCAGCATATGTGTTGCCTGCGCATCTTAGTTGTCAATTTTATGTGCGGGCAAATTGTTTCATTAGAAAAGGAGATCTGATCCGGGGAGGCCATTGAAATGCAGTTGAATGAAAACGCATCCAAAGTTTTGATCTTACCAAGGTGTTTTATCGTCTCCCACGGGGACACGTGCAGTCAAACGTTCATGTCTACAGGTTACAATACATTTTAATTTTAGATTTACCTGGAAGCCGAATACAAATAGATGTCACTGCATCACAGTGTTCCGCCTGGCAAGTGTTTATTTAATGCATAGATTGCATTCCATTCAGTGTTTTTTTTTTTTTTCCGTCCCTCCCTCAGATTCGCTCTCATATGCCAGCAGTGTCTGTCCCACAACGGCATGGCGTTAAAAGAGGAATTTGAATACGTCGGTAAGACTTGGAGACGCACTCAGCTCTTTGTCAGTCCCGCTCAAATGCTGCGCCTCCATTTGCCCTCTAGCACTTGGCAGCCCAGTATATCATGTGGCTTTTAAACGGCTCCGCCACCGCCGACCCCTGCGAGCAAATTCACACCAAGATTGAATATGCAAACCGATGCCTGTGCATCAATCTTAAGAGTTTGTACGCATCTCAGGCCTTTAAAAAGAAAAAAAAAAAGAGATTGGCTCATATTCATGCGTGTGTCTGTTTGTGAGATGACATTTACATGCTGTTTTATTTGTTTCAGCCTTCCGATGCGCATATTGTTATTTCCTCAACCCTGCCAGAAAGACCAGACCTCAAACACCCAGGCCCCCCGAGTTTACTGGTGAGCTCAAGATGTCTTCGGTGGCACCTTCCTCATTGTCCAGCGCTGATGAAGACTCCCTGCAACCTGGTAAAGGTGATGATGGAATGCATACATATCACTTGAGCAAAAGTCCCCCAATTCAAAACGACATCACCATATCGTAGAATGCAATTTTTAAATTGCTCTTTGTGAATAAACACAGCAACCCCTGCTTCAACCCATTCAGATGGCCGTACGTTTTATTTTTTTCCACACGTGTATTTATTCATACACGTGTCTTGATAGGTTCAGCGCTGAAAAAGTGCAGTCCACATGTTTCCATGTACAACATGAAAAGTTGACGTTAAAGCCACAGATTTGTTTGCGTCATCGTTGCAATCCCATTTATGGCTTACTGACGAATGTTTACGCCACACTTTTGCGAGGTAGTCGAGAGTGTGAAGAAAAACTGTCCCAAAAAAGTCTTTCATTAATGCATTTTGCATAAACCTAACCTATGAAACAAAAACAATTCTGTATAGTCAAAATGAAATCACAATATTGAAATGGGGCAACAATGGGAATGTGATTATTTTACAAACTTGCTCAGCCCTCATTTGGGGACATTTTGGACTGTCCTAACTTTGTGGGAAGAATTAGGGGAGGTTCTCTTTACTTCTAGCATGACCGCTCCCAAGCGCACAGAACTAGTTCCAGAAAGCCATGCTCAGATAAGTGTGGCAAACCCCATCAAACAAGCCACAATTCAAGTCATGTCTGTGCTTGAAAAATACACACAATAGATATGAATACATACTAAAACATACATTTCTTGCCAATGTTTCATTCCCAGGGGACACAAAACATGCAACACCCCCAACCCCCCCGGGGTCCAGTCCCGAGCCTGACCACAAAAGCACTCCCCAGTCACACGACGAGCCGTCTGAGAAATCTGACGGAGAGCAAGATTTGTCTGCCATGGAGGTGGAGTAAAGAAAACACATTTCACATCATCTGGAACTTGGATGAAATAGATTTCATGAGTACGGCCGTATTTTGGAGCAGCGCGGTCCCCACCATGTCTTAACTGTGCGTTTGAATGTAGTCACCTTCATGAGTACGGCCGTATTTTGGAGCAGCGCGGTCTTCCACCATGTCTTAACTGTGCGTTTGAATGTAGTCAGTCCTTTGCTTTGGCAAGCATATTTTATAGTCGAGAGGAATTGTTTGGCACTGGCACCTGATAGGAAACTCCTCAACAACCAGTTTTCATAACAGACTCATGTCTGATGCTCTGTAGTTTGTCATGCCGCATTGTACTTGTTTACTCCTGTATTTGACTACACGTCTTAATAGGAAACTGTTCATGAAACCTGTTTTTAGTCATAAGGTTCATTTACTGCTGTGCCCTCACCATTTGTTGACTGGGGGGGCGCCACCAACACGTTTACACGAGATGGTACAAAGTGTACAATTAAAACGCACTTGCAATATGTATTTATTTCTCCAAACAGGGAAGGGAGATTAACGTTGGTACTGTGCACCTGCTGGACGTGCCTTTTATATTTTAAATGGCTTCCTCTAGAATATTTTTGATGCAACCTATTTACATTTTGATGATCCCTTGAACTGTTTTTCACTCAAGCGAGTGAGAATGTTTGCTGTGAATGTGTCAGTTTAAGTGTAAATACAGTATTAAAATAAAATCGTGAGAACAATGGATGTGTATGTGTTGTTTTCAGAATGCATTCTAATAATAGGCCCAGACGTGGAAACTGGATGTCTCTTGAGAAAAACGACTCTTACTTTACACCAGCTTACTTGCCTTGGTTGATTGTGAGACTCTTCCAGTGCAAGGTGTGTATTAAACATAATTGCATATTGGATTTCTGAATATGTGCAACTGTAGTCACGGGAACACCAAGCTGCTTCGATATGGTCTTACAGCCTTTAAAGTTAACGTGCTTGTCTGCAGTTTGATTTGTAATCTCCTGAGACACCTCGCTCATTCACTTCCTCTGGTCTATGTTTAGTGTGGTACGCACCACCAAACAGCACGGTGACGACTGGTCACCCTTTAAATTGGGCCATTACAAGTTTTAATTCTGCTGAACCCCAATTCAAAATCAACGTCCGATTTTCATTTGTTAAATTTTCATTTCTTTTGTTTCATGACTTTTGTCAGATTCAAGTTATTTCTGTGACCCCTGTGGGTTTTTCTTTCACTAACAGAAGGCTACCAATATATATATATTTTTTTGTATAAAACTACAAAAAAAATATGAATGAACATAAATGTTTAATACTTTTACAATGCAAGACTGGCTTTTTAGGACCAGCAGCATATTCACATTTGTCGTACTGTCTGTACGTAGTTATCCTATCGAATGTGGAAGTGACACACAGCCAATGAAAACTTGTGAGACTTTCCTGCTTGTATTATGAGTAAGTTGAGCAAAGTTCTGGAAATGTGTGCATTTTATTTCATGAGACCCTGTCTGTGGATGGTATGATAAACAATGACTTCTCTGACACAAAGATTTACGATGTTGAGATCCTGCATTGCGTGTGAACGTTTGCATGCACTTCAATGTGATTATTTGTTAACCGGGTCACCACGATGACAAATTTCTGGTTACGTCTCGCTTGATATGCCCATCACTCGTAGAGCAACCCATCACAGTATCAAACATTTGGTAAAGTACGTTCACCTTCAAACAACGTTTATGCCATTTATTCGTTCAATGTTTATTACGGAAGGTCCAGCAGCTGAAGTTGATTCGTTGATGAAGGATTCCGAACACAGCCACAATGTGAGCGATTCCACGAGCTAGCAAGACAGTTATCGACTCCCATCTTCTAAGAGAAACATTAAATGCGGAATAGAAAAAGGGAGAGCATGTAAATGGCCGTGATTACTTCAACTCTTGTGTATTCCGTACGTGTGTCAGGTTGTACAAATTGCTGCCCTGTTTCGGCTCCTCGCCGCCAATGTTTAAACGCTCCATTTTCATTAGCTGGCCAATTTTAGCTTGTGATCATTTTATTTTCGCTCATTGATCATTTCAGACAGCGTAACATAATGGTGTTGACATCCAGCCCGACCACTCTTGATTGCTTGACCCTCTTCATTTGCAACCAGAAAGTCATTGCGGCTACAAAGTTGCTCTGCTGCCACCGCCTGACCCTCTTCCCCCTCAACATGCACTGTAAACTACGGGTGAGGTCAACGCGCCACATCTTCTATGGGTTTTGATAATGTATGTTTACAGAGACGTGACCTCCGGGGCCTTGCAATGCATCAATGTGACATCCACAGTAACGCCTGATTCCACCGCATGCTGTTTGGGGTTGACCTCTGACAAGAGTCGAACAGGGGGGGTGAAAAAATGGGACATCAATAGGACAATGTTTGGATGTTTTCACACCACTGGGAGCTTATTCCGCCATACACGGGCTGCACATGTGCATGCGTGTCATCTTTAGTGCCCTGTGACAGTGACTGAAATTATTGTTTGTTTTGGGCCCGGGGTTACATTTGTCTTCTTTCAGCAATGTCTTTGCCTCCTGACTTTTCAAATAAGAAAATGATATTACAGAAATGTAAAAATGCCCATTCCATTTTGTTGACTCCTGTCGTTAATTGAGGCAACCCATATACTGTATTAGTCACAACCCTGAGAAATATTTTCATCATTTCCAAAATTCCACATCTTTTTCATTCATTCATTTTCCGATCCGCTTATCCTCACGAGGTGCGCGGGGGGTGCTGGAGCCTATCCCAGCCGTCTTCGGGCACTAGGCGAAGCACACCCTGAAACGGTTGCCAGCCAATCGCAGGGCACATAGAGACGAACAAACATCCACACTCACACTCACACTCACACCTTGGGACAATTTAGAGTGTTCAATCAACCTGCCATGCATGTTTTTGGAACGTGGGAGGAAACCGGAGTACCCGGAGAAAACCCACGCAGGCCCAGGGAGAACATGCAAACTCCACACAGGGAGGACGGAGCTGGAATTGAAATTGAAATTCTGGAAATATTCCATCCTTTGAAACCCTAATCAAAATTGAGTATTATAATAGCAGTTTCTGGCATGGACATTATGTGCGGCCCACGCAGGGCAGTGTTGCTGGGGGGGGGGGGGGGGCTAAACCCACCCCAAAATGAAAATATAAATTGCTGCGTGAAATGGGGAATTCATCCCCCAAAGAAGGGTGCCGTTCAAGCGATTGAATGAGACCGTGTGACAACAACCGTTTACTTATTTTTAATGATGTCATTACTGTTTGGTTTTAGAAAGTATAATAATACAGAGTCCTATTATTTTTCCCTTTTTTTTTTTTTTTGGGAGGCTGCAACAGATTAACAGCAAATGTGACTTCCAAGTGTTTTGAGATAAGAGCAAAGTCAATGAACAAATTGAACTTGTACCCCAAGGTGGTCCAAATCTAAAATCTATGTCAAGGCAGAATAGCTCATGCATTGGATCTTCGGTGGTCATAACGCTGTGGACTTGAAGACGTCAAGACGTAATGGACATATTCAAAGAATGTGTGAATAATGGGAGATCATAGAAAAAGCTGCACTTGAAACTTCTTCTATCAGGATTTCTGTCATGGCAACGGTAACAGATTCGCACACTTGAAACAAAATGACTGATGAAATCCAAAGCCCCAGTGCCGAGGTAATTTTGTACAAGCGATGAAAAGGCACAGTGGAGCCGTCCCAAGGTTCATAGTTCTATTTCACTCCCATCTCTCACGCGTGCGTTCGAGGCCACTTGACTCAAATTTATACTGATCTTTTATTTATACCCAGAAAAAATGGCAGATAAGAAACATAAGCGTTCTTGATATTGTGTTCTGTCATATCTCGCGGCCAAAGATTGAAATCCTGCGAAACAATTTTCTGAAGAAATGAAAGAGCGCGCCCTCCTGAACCCCGGGAGGAAAATAAGCCCGCCGCGCAAAGCGGAATATGAAACAGAGGCCCTCCGAATAAGTAAAATAGACAAGTGCGCCAGGCTTGTCACTTTTCCATTTGCTGCCCCCGAGTGAGAACACTTCTAAAATCCCCCCCCACCCCCGCTTCATCTCAGCAGAGACCTTTATCGTTATGCTCTATCTACTGTACTGAATAAAAAAATTAAAAAAAAGCACATCAGGCAAAGGAGCCTTTTAAAGATTTGCCTTGATTCTCCCAATCATTTCGTAGCAAACAACAAAAGTCATGATGGAGGCGGTGTGCTAAATGCCGAGATGAGTGTCACGGAAGCAGTTAACGCGCCTGCGATATGAGATGTAACAACGGGCTCTCGACAACAGCATCATTACACCGTAATAAGAGCAGCATCTCCTTGAAGGCGGCATTAAAATCACATTAGAGTACACGAGAGCCGGCCTTGATGAGCACTGAAGGGGTGATGGTTCCGAGCAGCCGGGCCCCATTATTGTGCTGACTCGCATTCGCTCGCTCCTCGATTGCCACTTGACAAAAAAAAAAAAAAGCTTGGCGCAAAAGGTCATCAGCCTCTACCGAGAAATTAGCTCGAGAAAGTCAAGCCATTTAAATGCTCCGTGCGCAGATTGGATTGGATTCATTTTAGAAAAAAAAAAAAGTTCTATCTGTCAAATGACAAATGCGTGATGAAACACTGTTTATATAGCAGAATGGCATTCAGGGATCAGAGAGCATTGTCATCGTCTGCCCTGTCTTGTGGTCGTTATGACGCGAGAGCGATGACGTCGCTGTTTGACAATTAGTACTGTAAACAATATGTCACTGCATTGTAATTATGTACTGAACTGTGAGGATGCTCTCGTACCACAAACTAATCTCGCCGAATTGCTGCGTGAAATGAGCTGGTGAAGCGTGCTCGCGTTTTAGATACTTGTGACTGCAACATTATTTTGGGATTCACTTTTGCGAGAAGGGTCGGTCGGTGTTGTGCTGTGGTTTCATTGCAGAGGTGTCGAAACTTTTAAAAGGATGGGAAGGGCCACTTTTTGTTCACTATTTATAAAATATGGG